AAAGAACAGTTTAGAAATCTCCTTCTTCTTGACACAGTCTCCCATATCTCCCAAGAAGGTAAAAAAAATCCTGACTTGCACACAAACGCCATGCCAAGATACTAGAGAGACTATGCTGGACCAGGTGACTCTTCTGGAGAAGCCACCTGAACTTTGCAAGGGTATTGAAAATTATGTCTGTATGAGACCAGCAGCTGGCAAGCATTAGAATGTTGTCCAAGCAGCGAAAGATTTGCATCTTCTTCAAAGTCCTTGAAGCGGTGGACAGCTCAAATGAAAGGCAACAAAAATTGATTGTGATGAAATGTTATGAACCTGAGAAATTCTGAAACTCTGAGCAATAGGTACGCATCAACCCAAACTACTGTGATCATTCAGCCTTGAGCACAAACAATCAAAGTAACGATCTGTAGACTCTTTCCTGAAGCTCTCCACTGTCTTGAAGGTATTGAGTCTTTAAGTCTAAGACAGGTCTGTACTTTCCTGAAGCCTTTAGAACTAAAAAGGTGGGAGAGTACACTCCTTGGCCTTTTTCCGTCTCTAGAAACAGAATTATGGCATTTGCCTGCAGCAATTCTGCTATGTTTAATCTTAGACCCTCTACCTTTGTGGGATTCTCAAGAAGCTCTTTCTGAATAGCCACTAAGTTTGGGAGGGGGGGGGGGGGATTGTTAAGGAGGAGAACTCAAGCCTGTACCCTCTGCACATAGTTGCAACCATCCAGGCCTATAAAATATAGACAGACTCCTACTGGCATAGGCTGGGCAGTCAAACATACGTTCCTCTGCAAGCTTTGACCGAGAACCGCCTATCCTCTGGAAGGTGAAATTCTCAGCCCAGACAATAGATTCTTGTTTTGATTTTTGTACTGGTCACGAGATCTTAAAGGATCAAAAGGGCTGCTTCCTTTTTCAGTCTTGCAGTACAAGCCAAGGCTTGTACCATATGACTCTCTTAATTGCATCCTCTAGTGTCTGACCGAACAAGATCTTATTAGAGAAGGGAAGAGAACACAGGCCTTGTATGAAGGCAGGAATGTATAAACCAGAGAGCACATCACCTCATCACTGAACAAGACATATTCCATGCCGCAAGTCAAAATCCACTGATGTTTGAAGCATTCTAACTCCCCCTCTTCTGTACTTTGGTTCTGATCAAAAGCAAGGTTTTGCTGAGGATTCTCATCCTATTTTTTGCATGGCTCTCTATCCTTCCTCTTTGTTGCCTCTTTCTGATTTGAATCTTACATACTCTCCTCTACAGCTTGGTTAATAAAGGACTTCACCTCAAGGCGCTGTGAGTCTTTATCCCTGTCATCTGCTTAACCACTTCAAGTCTGGACACTTTTACCCCCTTCCTGTCCAGGCCAATTTTGAGCTTTCAGTGCTATCACACTTTGAATGACAATTGCGCGGTCATGCAACACTGTACCCATATGAATTTTTTAGCATATTTATTGATACAGAAAACTTTATTTTGTTGGTATTTATTCACCACTGGGATTTTTATTTTTTTTGCTATATAAATGAAAAGGTACAAAAATTTAGAAAAAAGGTGTTTTTCTTACAACATTTTGCAAACAAATATATTTTTTTTCTTCATAAATCTTGACAAAATTTGGTTATCTTTTTAGAAAAAAAAAACCAAATTAGTTTATAACCAAAATTTATACGTTTCTAAATTTTTTATATTATTTATGTTTTTATTTTTTTTAACATACTGTTACCCTAGCTGTACTACTTGTGGGGGGTGATGAAGATTTGTTTTTTCTTTTTACACGGATTGCTTTTACAGCCTTTATGGGTATAAAAGCAATAATTTCTCCTTCTCTCTGGCTGCATTCTTGCAGCCATTGAGAAATACTGTGAGAGTTGTGATTGGTCACAGCTTTTCACACACATGGTACAAGGCTGTTGTGAATAGCCTTGTACCATGTGACCTCTGATCATTCACAGATTTCACTAGTAGTAAGCAATGAGGTCAGAGGTGACCTCTTGCTTACTACTATTCATGTGATCACTGATTGGCCAATCAGTGATCACATGATCAGGACCTCACACAGAGGTCCCGTACAGCTATCAGTGTTCCGCTGTTTTTGCGCCGGTTCGCGGGGCCGCGCACTCCCAGAGAATGCGCACAGCTTGAAAATGCGGGCGCCATTTATGAACAGCAATCCGCTCCTGCACTGCTCCCCTTCGGCCGTTTATGTACATGGGCTGGACGGGAAGTGGTTAAGGCATATTTGGTATTGTAGTTTGATGGGTAGCGCTACCCACCAAAAATATGAAAGGCTCTATGGGCCACGTTTGCCAGAGTGAGGGGAAGCGGGACTTGGTAGGTAATAGGTATTTACATACTCTCAATGAAACTTGGAGCACCTGTGGTGTTTACATGAAAAGAATTAGCTCTAGCATCCTTAGGCTTGGGTTCTTCTCACTGGCAATGGAGAGCAACACTCAAAGAGCCATGATATTTTAGGAGACCAAGTAAAGGGCATCATAGAACACAGCCTATCTTACTAACGATTTTCAGTGTGTTCAGAGCTAGGGGGCCTCATGCTGAACCTAAGTGATGCAGAAAGCAATGAATATATGCGAGGAGAAAGACTTGCCAGACTCATGATGAAACAGGCCTGCCGCAAGCAGAGCAGAAAGCCAGCTAAGATGGAAAAGGCAAGTCATCAGGAACACAACGCACCTAATCACAGCAAGGGTAAAAGGCAAGTACTCATACATCATGAACGGACAGCCAGAAACCCAGCAGCAGTCTCACATGCAGACATGCCACCTTACGACACTGGGGAATGGAAGGAGATCAGGCACCCCCCTCCTCTCTGAGCTGGAAGTGCAGCCGTGCTCCACCAGCGTGGGTCTGACATGTCAGTTTGCTGGAGCATCCGTGGAGCCTGCAAGGAAACTGGAACGTGCCCCAGCCATAGGTAGAGAAAAAGAAGGTAAAGAGTAGGACAGAGGCACCTAATTTGTGGTGTCCAGTAAGTCCAAGTGGGAAGGAAGGGAAATAAAATATCTACACTGATAGCAAGGACAGAGGAAAGCCCAGGGGCGACGGTTATAGTGGTTGTAAGGCAGAATTATGGTTTTCTTAGGGTTGTACTGGCAGATCATGGGACAGTGTTGGCCAGCAAGTAATCTGCCATGAGGTGAGCTATAAAATCCATGGACAAGATCTATCTTGCAATAAGGCATTATTTCATTAAAAAAATTTTAAATAAGAATTATCAAATTTATTTATAGTATTTTTCTTCATTACAAATTACAAGTAGGTGAGCCCATCTCAGTCACCCAGCAGCTACCCAAGGCGAGCATTGGCAAGCAGAATGCAGAGAGGTGAGGGGTAAGTGCGAGGAGCCGGAGGCAGGTGTTACAAAACAAGATCAGCTGTCTCCTTGCTAGTTGCAGTGTCAGGCAAGCTGTACGCCAAAGAGGAGGGATGCCCTGTGCAACATCACAGCTGGTGTTATAGGGCACCTAGGGAGATGGGACAAAGTACTATATGTAGCTTGTTCTAAGGGGAACTCAATAATAATGATAGTAATAATAAATCCTTATTTTACCCTTTGTGCAGAAACAAAATAAATGAAACAGTTTGCTGGTTGTATCAAATATTTATTTTAAAATATACATTTAATGCTCTCTTCACACATATAAATATATATATGTATTTAAACACTCTTTACAGGGTTACATAAGGTGCACATTACCGTGTAGAGTGGCATCACATACTTTGCATACTATGCTAGTGAACCTGCTGTACACCATCATAAACTACAGCTGATATGTTTTGCAACCCAAGAGCATTCTGGGATTTTTTTTTTCTATGGATGGTGCAATGGATAGGCAACTATCACATTCAATACTGTTGCCATTACTCTGCACATCATCAACAACTGGCTACTTAGAGAGAGTCATCTTAGCTGATGTGAAGCTCATAAAGATACCCTGAAAACCCTTTGGGGGAAACAATCATCCACTTCTCCCCTGATAAAATAAGGACCATATGAGGCTAAATAAATAAAACACATCACTTCCCCTTACTGTGACACAGAGTAAAAAGCCTGGCTGGGCTCTGTAAGGAGTTCTCACAACCATTTCCTAGCTGCTGCAGCCATCATGTGCCTTAACATCCTAGAATGTTCTAGATAATGTATTGCCTACCTGTGTGTGGGTGGTAAAAGTAAAACATGTTTTTAGCCAGTCTTTGGTGCCATATTGCCACCCGTTACTTTTGTAATGACTAGCGGATGATATTGTGATGCCTACTGTGTGAAAATTAAACACAAGGATATGTAAAAACATTCCAATGTAACAGATGCATTTATAGCCAATCTGGGTCTGACTGGGCAACGTGGGAGAACCTTGACAGAACTGTGGCACTGTCCCATCAGCAGCGAACCCAGTCAGAGCTCCAGCTGAAAGAAAACACAAAGCAGAGAAACATACAAAATGAAGTTTGTTATAAATCTTTCAGTGCATAGTGTTTGATGTTTGTGCGTTATCCAAGAAGGATCTTTACATTCCCCAAATAATTGCCCTGACCCTTCAACTACATGGAAATACCTATCACACAAATTCTTTTTTGGCACCATCACTAACAGTTTGTCACAAACATAAATTCCTCTGTAGCAATACAATAGGAAGCTTGTTTCAGTAGAAGACAATTCACCACATAAGGTTTGAGGAAAGATAACCGACATAACAACTAATACTTTTGTGAAAGCCTTTCTAGAATGCAAAAAAAAAAAAAAAAATTGTCAAAAGAAACACACAAGCTTTTATCAAACACCTTCTTGAAGGTTCTGTTTATGAGTATCATTGCTGATTTAGAACAATTTTACTTTCATTCATACATGTCCACATGCTGGTAGGAGGAGAAAAAGATCAACAGTCTGAAGGAAACAAAAGCGCATGCACTTCTTTTGACTGTAAAATTCAAACCCAACCAGCGATCATAAAGTCTGTAAACGTTCACACTTCAAGCAACTAATGCCCATCAGTGGTTGGTACAGAGGCATTCTCCATACATGGATTATCACAGGCTGCCTTGCCATGCACACTTGAAGAAGTGTACTGTGCGCCAGTTATGCCATCACCCTGTACTGACTCTTGTGAGCTTGCAGGCGTGTCCATAGCTTGGCCATCAGTGACTTTCAGTTCCAGAGTCTCCAAAATGTTCTGCACTTTTCTAACACCATCCCTCCTTGCTTGGCGAACATCTGCACGGCCTTCAGGGTCTACCGAGTCTAGGGCCAGCAGCTCTTTGGTAAGGTATTCCTCCAGCATCAAATACCTCTTTTCATTTTTACTGCCCCGAAAGTTAGCGACCGCCTCCTGCAGTGCCTCCACCCTGCCTAATATCCGCTCCACCTGCACCACTCCAGGATGCTTTTCTTGGGATTCTACTACTTCAGCCTCTTTTTCATGGAGAGACTCTTTGAAGTCAGGTCTTTCCTTCACAATATTTGAAGGATGCATCTCATCCATGACTTCTTTCTGCGCAAACAATGGTTTGCATTCTGCCTGTGCTTGGCTGGTCTGCGCTGGCACAGTGTTTGAACACTGACGTGGAATATCTGTGGCAAGACCAATCTTAACTGAGCTGATACTGGCAGGGTCTGCCTTTACTGGGCTAGTGGTGGCGGCAGAGCCTACCTGGTTTGGGGTGGGGGTTGAGTCACTGGTAGCAGATCTCATCTGAGATTGGGTTGGGGTGGCTGATCTTGTCTGAAGAGGCACTGTGGTTGGAGAGCTCATCTGAACGGAGGCTGTGGTGGGAGAGCTCATCTGAACGGAGGCTGTGGTGGGGAGAGCTCATCTGAACGGAGGCTGTGGTGGGAGAGCTCATCTGAACGGAGGCTGTGGTGGGAGAGCTCATCTGAACGGAGGCTTTGGTGGGAGAGCTCATCTGAACAGGGACTGTGGTGGAAAAGCCCATCTGAACAGGAACTGTGGTAGGAGAGCCCATCTGAACAGGAACTGTGGTCGGAGAACCCATCTGAACAGGGACTGTAGTGGGAGAATTATCCATTTGAACTCTAGAAGGGGAGATCCGTTGCACAGGAATCTGCTGGATAGGAACACAAAGAGGCAAAATAAGACTAGAACAACAAATACAAAATTCAATATTAATGTTTTAATACCAGTTTAAAAGTAAACCTTTTACCCAAGCAATTATGAAAGTTACCATTGGTCTGCCTTCCACATTAAAAATACTAGTTTCCTGCCTGTTATTCTGGTAGAACAGCTTCAGCACTATCTGTATCGTTTTCCCAGAATAATTATGTATTTGCCTGATGCATGCTTGTTCTGAATCAGTCTCTGAATGTGTTGAAGCCGGTGATGGCTAGGGAACTATATTTGATGCCTAGCTAGTAGCTAGCCTCTCCATTTGTAGGAGGATTATGCACTGTCCTAAGGTCTGTGTTGTGGCTTATGTAGCCAATGAATAGGACTAGAAGGGCCTTTAAAAAATAAAGTAACAATAATAATAAAAATAAATAAAAAAATGAACTGAACTTGATGGATCACACTGAACAAATCCTCCGCTTTTGTTCCCATTTCCTTTTCTCCAGTTTTTCTTTTTAGAAGTACCCCTTTTTGAAAAGACTTCAGGCATCAGATATACACTTGTATTGCTCCAATGACCAACCAATCATACAAACATAACTTTTTTTATCTTAATGTTACATCTTCAGCACAGATTATAAATAAGAGGTGTTACACAATTAGGTGACTGAGAAACATTTAGCAACTTACCAACTCAAAATGCCTCAAGCGGTGTTCAAAGTGTTACTAAACCCACAACAGTAAAATCAGTCTGTGTATGCACAGTACAGCATGATTGTTATACTCACTGTGGAACCTAAGGGGTTAATCCTCTGCATTGTGTAAAAAGGCTGTTTGATGTTGTCTTTTCTGATCCTCCCCTTCTTCTACAGTCTCCAATCCATCTGCTGTGCTGATAGTACAGAGCCCTAGGAGGCACTCTGCAAATGTTCACTTTGGTGTGTATTGCTAGAGAGTGGTTTTTCTTTTTGGGGGGGGGGGTGCATGTTATCAGCACAGGGCCAATCAGCACTATCCAGACAGAGTGTCAGGAGTCAGGCAGCCTCATAGGACAGTCAGAGGAGAGTTAAAGCACCTCCTACAAGCTTTAACCAGTGCTCGGCCAGACACTGATAGGAGTCACAAGACTGTTATATACTGCTGATGGAAAAAGGAGTTTACCAGTAGATAGGGAGATTTGCTTCCTACTCTGACAGCTGGCTGCCTCTACCTTCAAGATCCATATCCACCTAAGAGATTACTCTCAACTTTGGACCCCCAACAATATGACAGTGCCAGATTACACACCCGCAAGTCACAATTTATATGTATGGACTTCTATTCTATTTATTTGGTCCACATATTACTCTTATATCTCTCAGGGATTGTATTCTAGCTCTTCCCATCCCCTGTCCACATTTAGCAGTTTAGATTTACTAAAATAATTGCATTCTCATGCTCTGTGTACTGTGGGAGACCAGATACAGTGCATGCAGGGTTTTGTAACACTTTAAGCATCCTTATTGTCCCTGCACTCCTTGTTCACTTTTTTTCTCTTTGCCGATGGACGTTTCTGGGTTTGGCGGTTGCCAGGAGAACAGTACTTGCCTGACTGCATTGTGCCAAGTGTAAAGTTTGTTGGAGGGGGGGTTGTTTCTCAGCGGTTGGGCTTGGCCCCTTAGTTCCAGTGAAGAGAACTCTTAAGGCATCAGAATACCAAGACATTTTGGATAATTTTAGCTTCCAACTTTGTGGGAACAGTTTGAGGATGGCCCCTTCCTTTTTGCAATATGACTGCACAACAGTGCATAAAGCAGGGTCTATAAAGACATGGATGAGCGAGTTTGGGGTGGAGGAACTTGACTGGCCTGCCCTCAACACCTTTGGGATGAATTAGAGTGGAGACTGCGAGCCAGGCCTTCTCGTCCGACATCAGTGCCTGACCTCACAAATGTGCTTCTGGAAGAATGGTCAAACCTTCCCATAGACACACTCCTAAACCTTGTGGACAGCCTTCCCAGAAGAGTTGAAGCCGTTGGCAGGTAGGCAGGTGTCCCCAATACTTTTGGCCATATAGTGTACCATTTAACCAAGATCAGGAGAAAAACATTCACCAGGACTGAAATATCCTAATATTTCATTACAGTGCTCCATGAATTTACACATTTTGGATCAAGTTGTAAGTCAATACCCATGTGCATCAATATGATGCTATACATTGTAATACAGTTCCCAAGGACAGTTTCATATAGATTATTACAGGTAGTTTCTGCAGATCTCCAGTATCCTAATTATGCATGTTACTATGAGACTATGGCTTTAATATGGTAATATAACAGTTATCCCACATACCTGAACTCGGGTAGAAGAAGGAGATGGGGAGCTCACTCTGCCAGGAGAACTTTCTCGACTAGATATGGTTCTTACTTTCACTGGCTGCTTGGAGTCTCTTTCATCCTGGATTCTGTGGAACACTGGTTGATGTGACTGGCTTTCCGGTTGTGGGTAGACTGTCTTCTGTGTCTGCTGGACGTTCTGAGGAGACTGGCGGGCCCCAATTTCCCTCATGGATCACTGGTATAGGAATATAGCCACGTGGCAACTGGTGACTTCCAGTATTTGGTCTCACAGGGCCCTGCCAGCCAGGAGACTGCGACAGACTGCTTGAGTCTGCGACAGAAGGGGGAGGCTGAAAAATAAAGATCATGTTTACGAATTAGTTAATTGACATTACAATTATTTCCATTAGTCCCTCTATATTACAAATCAGACAGACATACGGAACATTTATTAATAGTTTAACTAAGTAGACTATTTAGTATGTGTATGAGAGACATTACCGATTGTCCTTGTGGAGATCCAGAGTGCTGGCTACTCGGTTTCTCTGTCTGAAGAGGTTCAGGCGAGGTCCAGGCAGGAGACTGAGGGCGATTAAAGCCAGCCAGGGGAGACTGTGGCCGCTTGGCAGGCTCACATTTGACTCTCTGCTTGCCTGGCTGTTGTAGATAGTAGCATGGAAATTGCTGTTGGTTGTCCACACCATTATGATGAACCGGAATTGGGATGTAACCAGGCCTAAGATGAGGGTAATAAGTGTTGCTTTGCCTTATATTCTCCTGGGGTGGACCATTAGTCATTGTCTGGTTCACCTGTGTTAAAAAATAGACATCATCATAAAGGCCAATTCCACAAGAACAATAGTATGCCACCTACTGTATACTTCCTGATCCCAAACTCCTCCCTAGAATCTACGTTTCAGTATGTTTGCCATCATGTTTCACAGTTTTCTTAAAGTGTTAGTTCACCTTTTGCTATTTCTTTCTGTAAAGATGAACACTATACATCTTGCCCATCCCCTTGTCCCCGCTATACTTACCCCCAGGAATGCTGAGCTGTCAGTGCCCATGTTGCTAGTTCAGCAGCCCAGGGATTAGAAATCCCCACTCTTCTCCCTCTTCTTTGAGAAGTGCTTCTGGGACGGATCACAGCGACGCTCTGTGATGGCATTGACTGATCAGAATCACTCTGCTCACCCTGAGAGCGCTACAGAGAGAAGAGGGAGAAGAGCGGAGGATTTCAAATCCCTGGACTGCTCAACCGGGTGTGTGGGCACTGACAGCATACCTCCCTGAAAACATCACAGCACTCTGCCACAGAACTCCTCTCAAGAGCCCTCAGCTCTGATTCAAGTATTTGTCTTGACGGGTGGATGTCAGTCTTGAGGAGTGGGCCATTCCTAGGCAGACTGTATTTGCATGCAGACCAACCTAGGTAAAGTTCCCCATAAAATGCTAAGCCTCCACAATTGAAAAAATATCTAAAATCAAATGAATGGAAGGGGAAGATCAGTAACTGTCAGGGTAGGGAGGAAAGTTCTTGATGATGTGGACCATCATCCAGCCAGGGAATAAAGCAGGCTCTATCTGACTTACCGCAATTTCTAATGTACTTCTGATGTACACTGTAAGGAACTTTATGTGCAGTGAAATCAGACCAAGCAAGAGGAGAGGAGCCTGTGTGACTGTGCAAGACTGAAGGGAAGGATGGCATTTATATTGAAGAACACTGTAAGGCATGATGCCAAACTTACTGAAAGTAAGTATTGAGTTTAGCTTCTAAAACTGAACTCCAGGTAGCTATAAACGAACACTTTATAATGCAACTCTGTATTCATTACAAATCATTAAAGCTGAATTTCAGATGCTGATTGGACAATAATGGAGCAGCAGCACACGTCTAGGTCATCAGCACTGCTCTCTCCACCAGTAGCACATGTGTAAGAAGTAGAACACGATTGGCTCCTAGAGCTGCCCTTGTACCTGTATGAGTACTACTGTGCAGAGGACAACAGAGTTTGATATCAGGTCAGGTTCTGGTAACTCATTTTTTTTTAAATTACGAGCAGGAGGCTGTTTATTACAGAAGAATCCATCAATGTCCCTTCCACATTAAATATACCTACCTGGCTGCTTACAGTGTTCCTTAAAATGTGCAGTTCAGTATACTGTACATTCTGGAACCGGAAGAAGCCAGGAAGAAGATGCCGACTATGGCATGTGTTAGATCAGGGGTCTCCAAATTTTCTAAACAAAAGGTCCTTCAGACTTTAGGAGAGTTGGAGTGGCCAATGGGAGTAGAAAATGTCCCAGCGTTAGTAGGAGTAAGAAAAAAAAAAAATGACAGTGCTTGTAGTCAGTGGAAGGAGGAATAGTGTCCCCATCATTGGTGTCAGGGGGGAGGAATAGTGTCCCATCATTGGTGTCAGGGGGAGGAATAGTGTCCCATCATTGGTGTCAGGGGGAGGAATAGTGTCCCATCATTGGTGTCAGGGGGAGGAATAGAGCCCCATCATTGGTGTCAGGGGAGGAATAGAGCCCCATCATTGGTGTCAGGGGCAGGAATAGAGCCCCATCATTGGTGTCAGGGGCAGGAATAGAGCCCCATCATTGGTGTCAGGGGCAGGAATAGAGCCCCATCATTGGTGTCAGGGGCAGGAATAGAGCCCCATCATTGGTGTCAGGGGCAGGAATAGAGCCCCATCATTGGTGTCAGGGGCAGGAATAGAGCCCCATCATTGGTGTCAGGGGCAGGAATAGAGCCCCATCATTGGTGTCAGGGGCAGGAATAGAGCCCCATCATTGGTGTCAGGGGCAGGAATAGAGCCCCATCATTGGTGTCAGGGGCAGGAATAGAGCCCCATCATTGGTGTCAGGGGCAGGAATAGAGCCCCATCATTGGTGTCAGGGGCAGGAATAGAGCCCCATCATTGGTGTCAGGGGCAGGAATAGAGCCCCATCATTGGTGTCAGGGGCAGGAATAGAGCCCCATCATTGGTGTCAGGGGCAGGAATAGAGCCCCATCATTGGTGTCAGGGGCAGGAATAGAGCCCCATCATTGGTGTCAGGGGCAGGAATAGAGCCCCATCATTGGTGTCAGGGGCAGGAATAGAGCCCCATCATTGGTGTCAGGGGCAGGAATAGAGCCCCATCATTGGTGTCAGGGGCAGGAATAGAGCCCCATCATTGGTGTCAGGGGGAGGAATAGAGCCCCATCATTGGTGTCAGGGGGAGGAATAGAGCCCCATCATTGGTGTCAGGGGGAGGAATAGAGCCCCATCATTGGTGTCAGGGGGAGGAATAGAGCCCCATCATTGGTGTCAGGGGGAGGAATAGAGCCCCATCATTGGTGTCAGGGGGAGGAATAGAGCCCCATCATTGGTGTCAGGAGGAGGAATAGTGCTCCATCATTGGAATCAGTGAGAGGAATAGTGCCCCATCTTTGGAGTCAGTGGGAAGAATAGTGCCCTATGATTGGTATCACAGGATGGAATAGTGCCCAATCCTTGGTAGTAGTTGGAGGAATAGTACCTAATTGTTTATATCAGTGGGAGGAATTGTGCCCCATAGTTGGTGTCAGTGGAAGAAATGGTGCCTCCTTGTTGGTATCAGTGGGAGGATTAGTACCCCGAGGGCCGGATAGAGGCAAGCAAAGGGCCGCAGTTTGGAGACAAAAGTATTGCAGACTTTAGTTCCCCTTTAAAGTGACACTAAAGCTTTGGGGTTTTCTTTGTAATAATAAACATGTTATACTGACCTGCTCTGTGCAGGGGTTTTGCACAAAGCAGCCCCGATTCTCTTCTTTTCAGGTCTCTGTCGATACTCCTAGCTCCTCCCCCTTAAGAAGCAACCCCAGGGAAAGCCGCTGGCTCTGGGGGCACCGCTGCGTGTTCATCTCTGAGCCACTCTCTCTGCATCTCCACTCTCTCCTCATTGGCTCACTAGCTGTGAATGACAGCAGCCGAAGCAAACAAGCTCCTGCTGCTGTCTCAGCCAAAGAGGAGGAACAGTCCCCAGACAGTAGAGAACATCGCTGAATCAGGGGGGGCTCAGGTAAAAACTGGGGGGTGTGGAGAGCAAACAATGTCTATATGCTGAGAAAGCATGCTCACGCCTCACTCCCAACACAAAAACAGACCTGTCAAAGACAGATTCAAGATCCAGATTAAAGATCGGTAGACAACAGGAATCGGCTTCCAATCATGTGACCGCTATGACAGTGGTCACATGATCATCGATCCTCCCCAACCCCAGACAAAAAAAAAAAACTGTACACATCAAGCTGTAGGGAAAAAGAAAAAAAAACAATTAAAATTGCAAAAAACTGGTAGTGCAAGGCCACAATGAGATTAAAAAGTGGAGTGCCTCCTATTATTGGTAAAGCGAAAGGAAAAATTAAAATAATTGTTTAGTAAGGCTCCATGTGCACTAGCGGTTTTTTTTTTTTTTTTTTTTTTTTAGAAGCTCCAAAAAAACGAAAAAAAAAACGCTGATAATAACGTTTTGTGCCGGTTTGTGGTAGCATTAAGAAGCAGTCGCGTTTTTACAGTACATGGAAAACACAAATAAAACTATGCTCGAAAAAAAGTAGCTAGGAGCATTTATCCTTTTTTCTGCTGGGAAAAACTCTCCCAAAAACAATTTTTTTTCTGCTGCTATACGCTGAAGCTTGAAATCCGCTTCTAGAATAAAATAGTGTGCATGGGCACAAAGGGTAACACTATTAGCTTCTAAGGAGCAGTAAAAAAAAATTCTCACAATATTTGTTTATTTCAGGTACTTGTATAGCACCGTCAATTTACTTAGCGTTTCACATATATATTGTACATTCACATCAGTCCCTAACCCTCAAGGGGCGTACAATCTAACTCACATTCATACATGCACACATACTAGGGACAATTGCTTCTATGAGCTTAAAAAAAAATGCTAGGTTGCATAAAGGGGTGAACTGACCATTTGGAAACTCGGGCACTGCCCGAGGGCTCGGGGTCAGTAGGGGGCCCCATGAGATGCCCCTGGTACCTTTTTCATAGGCTTTTTTGAGTTTGGGCAAGGACACGGGGGCCCCATGATCCCCCATTGCCCGGGGGCCCCATGAGTTGTCAGTCTGCCCTGGTTGCATGGAACCTAAAGGTGGAGACGGGCACTTTGAATAACAATTCTGAAGCATCCTAAATTCTTCATAGGTGAACTAAACAAATGGAGGTCCTACCTAGCCCAGCCATCTTCTATTACAACATTGTCTTTATGCACACTTCCCCTATGACTGGTATCAGAGCAATGTCACGGTACATAGCAGACAGATATTTGGAAGCCAGTGACTTCAATTAACGCTCATTTCCACTAATAACAGAAAATATAGTGAAGGATGCATAATTTTTTAAAGATCTGGCTCCTCCCCCTTATGTCATAAATATTAATAAAATTGGTTCTGTCTCGGAATCTGACTCAGAAATCCAGTAGACCTGCATCTTCTCTTCCTTCTATTCCTAGTAACCTACAGCTGGGTCTTCCCTTCTGTGCACATGCGGCATCTCTTGGCATTCTTTATTATGTCCAGTTTGAAGGGACAGGCTGTCCATGAAGGATACAGTTAAAGCTAAAGGTGGCCCTTTTATCCCCATTTTATTACAATGGGTATTTCATGGGGGAGGCCGTCATGCAGCTGTCACGGAAAAGGCTGAGAGAAGGTAAAAATAGCCCCGGTGACACACATTGAGAAAGATCCAGCGGGGTGATGGGGAGAAGGCTGTATGTCTGAGGTCAGAGCTCGGACAGTGACTAAGGCAATGGATAAATGTCTGAAGTCT